TTGATCAAGGTAAAATCGCTATGTTTATGTTTGATTTCCGATAACCTTGAACAGCTGGCGACAACCGAAAAAAAGTTACTCGCGAGTGTTCATCGGTAATCCGGATCAGTTCGCTTATGGCGAAATAATGGTAATAGTGAACGCAGATGTTGCAGGTTATGGAAACCATAGAATTTATCCAGCATGAATTGTATGAAAGGAAGGGGCCCAAGAGGGAAAAATAGTTGGCATAGCTTTGGGTACTTTACAACTCGAAATTTTTGAATGGTCTTGAAATGACCCGAGCAGGTATGCAAAAAATCGGCAAAAATTGGAGCACGAAATGCTTTTCTTATACTGGATAAAAAGACAAAGGAACGCCTCTTTTGGATATCAGCTGGGCGTGGTTTGTCTGTTAAAAATTTTCAAAAATTCGAGATAAATAGCCGTCTCAAAAATTACGACAAAATCGATGTTGCACCGTAAGAGCTGGTGGGGACTATATGAAACGTAAATAATAATAATAAACATAATTTTTTCAACGTTCCAGTTTACCCGAGAACTCTGCAGAAAATCATGGAATCATAAAAAATGATAGAATGACATAGATAAGAAGTACTTCATAACGCAAAATTTTTCAATGGTTACCAGAAAAACAGGAAACTTTGCAAAAAAAACCGATGAAAGTTCACTGAAATTACGAGATTATGACATGCTTTTTCATACTAAATAAATGAATAGCTACCTAATAAAGTCATACTATTACAGAAGCAACTAAAACATCGCCGCTCAAGGCTAGACGTCACAAAGTCATACCGAACCGCTAACTTTCCCGTTCTAGCGGGAAACCAGTTTCACTAGGTATTATGCACTGTTCATTCCGCTGCGATTTTGCTGGATAGACTGCTTAATTTTTCGGTTAAAAAATGATTCTCGCGGAGACATGCTATGACGTTTCGCGGTAGTCGCTCACAAGGACATTCATGAGACGCGAGGTGACAATCGGACTGCGAAAAACTGAAGCGAAAGCGCTTTGCGCATCTAAGACGTTTGAGAGAAATCCTGGTTTGTAACACATTCATAGGGTGGTCTCAGATTTGGAATAAAAGGGAGAAATTTGTCATAGTGCTAGGCGAGTGCCTACAGCTAGTACTGGCCCTGGAAGCAGATCACAAATCAGCGCGACCCTTGAACTTTTCTTTCTAAGCTAAAAAGTGAGCTTTCAGAGGGGTAGGGGAACGAACTCCGCTGGTTCTGAGCAGCCTCCGCTGGCAGCTGATCCTTTTACAATGTGGCATGTCGTTGCAGGACCAGTAGTCCGCACAGGCGGCCAGAACTGGCGGAGTTCGTTCCTTCACCCCTTTTAGAGGCTTCAAAAAACGCTTCTAGGATTTTTTTTAATCAAGCGATTTTCAGCTTGAATGTGAATCATGTCTGATGTGTAAATGATTGCCATTTTCAGACGATTTCACAATTTTTCTACGTCAAAAATGGGGTTTAGGGAGAGGGGTTGGAGTGGGGAATGACGGTTTAATGCGATTTGAACTTTTGGAATAAATTTTTTAATTCGGTTGCCAGAATTGTGATGTTTCTGGAAATTGTCAGAGAGAAAAATTTTTTCGTGGACTAGTGATGAAAAGCAAAATAGAGAAGAGTATGCTGATTCCGTCCTATGGAAAAAATAACCATGTGATTCTCTTGCATGAGAATGAAGATTATTGTGGAGGTATTATTGTCAGCATTTAGAATTCGAAAATGCAAATGTGTTTGTTCGTATGTGAGGGTTTTTTTAAACTTCGCAATATCTATAATATCGACTCTAGCATGATGAAATTTTGGGGCATTTCTTCGGAGAAAAATTAAAATTGCAGTGAGTTTGAGGATTTGGGACTGTTCAAAATTTATATTCGGAAAAAATGCGTTATTGAAATCGTAATGAGCTCTGAAAATATGAAATTACGGAAAACAACGACGACGTTGGCATGCAAGATCATCACAAATTATTTCGACACGTAGAGGGCCCCAAATTATTTTTGAAGACTGGAGGGGTTTGATGGACAATGGATCTAAAAGCGAAGTGTTTGGGAGAATGAGTGGATCCAAATGAAACAACTGACGTCGTGCTGAGAGCGCCCGACCGAGGCACGTTTCATTGTTGTTCACTTACGCTTTTGTTGTTCCATTGTAGCGCAAATGTCGTTATTTACCGTCTTCAAGGTTATTAGCAATGTATGGAAGAAGTCACCAGGGAGAGAATACAAACTGCATACGGGAGGATCAAAACGAAGCAGCGATAAAGAACACTTGGATTGAAACGAAGGATAAAACATAGTCCGAGCAGGGGACCAAAAATGCCAGAATGCTCGGTCTTTCTGGTATATTGCGAATAAAACCCAAAATGCAAAAGAGAAACGCGACACAAAGCATTGCTGCTTCCAAGCAGGCTTTCTTTTTTTAAATCTCGCTGTGATTGCTTCTCCGCTGCAAGCGACATCCTCTGCACGCTTCGTGACTTTCGAAAAAGCAGTAGCTACACAATAAATGAAAAGTACTCTTGAGCGGAATGAAATACTGGGAAAGGTCTGCAACAGTCGTTTAGGATCTAGAGTGATGGATAATAAAGACTTCGTATAATCACAATCTTTTTGAGAGGATATGCTAATAGGTGTCTTTTTTATCGAAATTCATTATATTTATAATCTTTGGTCCAACTGGATTGGCGGCTGAAAGGCGGGGTTTTGTGACCTAATTATGGCCGTTCGCGCCCGTGACTCAATCTGCGTCTCTCCGGCGCGCGTGCTCTCTGGTCATTACCTAGCCTTAGATAGGACACGAAGCCCCGCCCTCCAGCCACCAAGGCAGTTGAATAAAGGGGTACGTGAGTAGCGCTACGAATACATTCAAAAAGCTATTGATTGAGAATCAAAAAAAGTAAAATTAGAAAACTTGCTAGATGGCTGAAATAATACAGATAAAGAAATATAATACAAGGAGAGCTCGTAAAATTAAAAAAAGCTGCAAAAACCTTGTATTCTATAACAGTCCATATCTTTTTTCTTTGAATCAAATTTTAGGAAATAGTTTCAATGAAAATTATGGAAATAAGATAGTGCAATGGAAAAGACGAAAGAGGAAAATTTTTCCTTATTGTGATTATATCAAGAATAAATATACTATCGCCTTAAAAATTTATCACCAAAATACTACTGTGAATTAGACATATTTTATCTCTGGTACCAAATTTCTAAAAAAAAGTCATTTGTGGCGATTAACTAAACAAGCACTTTAAATAAGCGATTTACTTCACTTTTGTTACAACTATAAAATGCTGAGAAAGAATAATTTGTTTTCTTTGAAGAAAATTGAACTTTTTATTTTTTTTACATATAATTACAATTTTCATTTTTTTCTTCTAATACAACGCGGTCCTTAGCCCCTCCCCTGTTTCCCTATAATCTGAAATCATCGAGACGCAAAAAAGTGCGAGACCGGTAATCCCAATTTTGCTTCATATCGTCATGGCAAAACCTCTTAGCTAGGTGATCTAAAGTGCGAACCAGTAGCTCCTAGACTGTAGACGAGGTCATTCAAGTCATAATGGATCCGGCCCATTACAAAGCATAATGTCTTTAACGATAGGAGTTGACCTTGCTGCGGCGAAGCGGATGTTGTAAAAAGTCGCGCTATTGCGATGATTTAGGTGCAAAGGATTGGTTTCTATAATCTTTGAATCGAACTTATAAAAAATGAAGGTAAATGGCGACGAGACGGGATCAAATTCGCAAAAAGAAGAGTACGATTGAAGAGTTATAGTAATCCTTCTATTACTTGAAAATGCCGTGATAGCTATGTCCGCCTCGATACTAAAAATCCCAGAATCGTGAGAGAAAAGCAACAGCAGCTTTGGTAAGTATAACCCATCTAGGAGAGTGTAAACACTAGGCTTTCGCGCAAAATCTTCCCCCCCCCCCCCCCTCTCGCTCTTTCGCTTTATTTTGCCAAGCTAGTTATTGGAATACCAAGGGCGAGAAACTGTATAATCGACCTCAAAAATGCTGTATGATGTAGTCCCACATCCTGACCACTGAACATAGTTTCAATAACTCATAATTGCGCGCATTCGCATGCTTGGCCTATTTTACCATTCGGCAATCACACATACCATGTCGAGCTAGGAAACATAACCAAGAAAAATCAAAGGACTTGTCCTTGCCAATAACTCTATAGTTATGCTGGTTCCCAGCGGCGATGTATATTAACAGATGGGCATAAAAGAGAAATAAGGTAGTTTATTGCTGATTCCAAAGATTTGCTTTGCAGAAGAGGGAAAGGGAGGCGAAGACGAAAATTCGTTTGTAACAATTGGGCAAAGCATCAGCTAAGCCTCATAACAAATTTACCATGATTTTCAAAAAATTAGGAATTCTAAAATGTCCAAACTGATGGGCTGCTTTGTATTTCTGCAAAAGTTACAAAAAATATTTTAGTCGTTCACAAATAAAAATAAGTTGCTCGCATTTTGATCTATGAGCTTTGCGATAAAAGATACCTTGCGTCATCTCCCACCTTTCACTCGAGTACTTATGTATGTAAGATAGAAGTAAGTTTTGATATGGGTCAGGTTTCCCTCCAATAAAGTTTATGTGATCTAAATACTGCAAGCCCTAGATGCTTTAAATTCAGTAAAGTAAAGTCATACATTTTTTGAATGGCCTTAGATGCGCAACGTGGGGCTTTTGCCAAAGCAAAAAAAGCAGGATACCTTTGTTAGCACCGATAAATAAATTAATTTTTGCATAAATAAATTCTTCTATTTATCTGGCTTCATTCAAGCATCATAATTTTACATTCATTTCATCCATTCATTCATTCATTGATTCATTCATTCATTCAACAATATAATAACAAATTGAAACCGATATATTCTTCAATCGCTCAACTATAAATTGGTACTTGATTAAATGAGCTCGTCCAAAACATTAAATTCTAAGCGGCTACTAGCAAGAGCCTCTACAAACAATCTATTTATATTTTCTCTGTCTGATTATTTTTCCGAACAGCTGAGTTGGCCATGGGAAAGACTCGAGATCTTTTTCGAATTGATCATCGTAGCTGGCTGAATCGCTTGCTCGTTCATCGTCCAATGCGCTTCCTGTTCCTGAAAGAATTAACTATCAGAGGTAGAAATGAAGATTCTAGAAGCAAGATCGAGTTGAAGTCACATTTTTAGAATGACAAAAACGGTTGAAGATTTCACTGACATTTTAGGCATGCCTACCTCTGTAATATTTAGCTAGGCTGGGCATAAGTCCAGGTCGTTGTTGGAGATACTGTAAAGCAAGGTGAATCATACTCAAACGATAAGGATATCAAAAAACATACTGGAGCGTATGGGAAGACTGGTGCAGGTAAAGGCATTTCTTCTGGACGAACATTTAGTTCTGATGCTATTACTGAAACAATATGTTCGAACTTTTATTGAAATTTCATTACATCTAAACCAATAGAAGTATACCTTCTATTTGCACAGGCAAGCTCCCTGGCGTTGGTATACTGTAAATAAACTTGATACATGTTGCTACATGAAACCTTAAAGACACCGACAAGGCATTTGGAGATGCTCATTCTATGTTAATGATTCGTGCAAGCAGAAAGTGAGGGTTTGAAAGAGTTTCAAGACTTGTCTGAGGACTTTTGTTAACTTGACCGACGTTGTTATGTGCTCGTTTCCTCTAGCTGAATGTAGATTTTGGATTGTCTAGTCGGTCCACTGCCAAGAGCCTCTTACAAGTGCTAGTCTAGACTTGCATTTGCAGAAGAGGCTCAATGTCTAAGGATGGCCGCAATTCTCAGACTCATAAAACAAATCATGCATTCTCTCCAAAGTCATTTCCACCATGTGCATTAGTTTTGTGTTGTACCAAAGGCGCTGTAGTAACCCACGTCTTCTGTAGCCAGATATATCGTGGGATTTACTGGTGTGCGGGGAGTTGAATTAGGTTCGTTTTGCAATTTCGGTTGTTTATCTCTACGATCCTTAGACATGTTCTAAGCTAGCGCTTGTAAAGGAGGCTCTTGTTCGGATCCAAAAACCTACAAATTACGTTCAGACTTCTGAAGCAGACGACCGCGCCAAAACTTTCATTAACATTCAAACTTGGAGTTTTGTGAGGCTTCTGGAATTTTTCGAAACAAAGAGAAAAATGGGTAAAGAAGATATCCATCATTTTGGCAAATAATGATCGGTTCATAATAACACGAACATCTCATGTTTTGTGTTTTTCATACCGAAGGTTTCTTGCACTTTTCCCAAGAAATCCGGTAAACTGCAAATTAGGGGTGTTATTAAAATTGTGAACCGTTCTTCATAAGCACTGATTGGCGTAACAACGACAAAGCTTCGGAAATGTCATCCATGGAAGCCGATATCACTACTCTAACTATAAATATAATACTTGGTGTAACCAGCAGAATTGTGCGATCTTGCGATGCCCCTATTAATAATTGATTATCAAAGTCCTTTTTTTTATTTTTGGTGTTTATTCAAATAAAGAATAAATTCTTTCGGTTTGATAGCAACATTACCGTCAAAAGTAAAAAGCTTCACTGTAAAATGTTTTCTGACCTATTATGAAAAAAATTTATGCTGTTTGACAAGGCTTATTGCGTTAACCTAGAATATTGACAAATTCTGGTTTTCTCTGTTGACGAGGTTATCCACCAATCTTGAACAATACTTTGATCAAAATATTCGCTGCAATTTTAACTGAAATAGCCAAAATAGCGGTAAATCAAAGTTCACTTACTCGAGTTCACCTAACTGCTCAATGGATTCCATCAAATCGGCCATGGCGAGTATCAAGAAGCAAGACATGAACTGCATTGGGAGAACTTTTGTATGATCAGTGAATACATGCATGATCATGAACCGACTCATATTTATACGGGATTTCATGAAAACGATCTATCGTCCGTAAAGAACCCTAGAGGACTTGATAAACCAGGTACGAGGTAATTTCACACCGCTTGACTAGCTGGAATTGAGTGCTATTTCAGCCTTGTCACTTTCCTACGTCCTCCCAAAGTATGATTTTAGCTTTTTTGAATCAGAAAACCACAGACGAGGAAGTGAAATATGTCTAAGAAATGTTTCAAGGAGAGTCGATGCAGTTACTCGAGGGATGCAACAAAAAGTCTCTCGTCATGTATTTCATACCGCTCTTCACTAGCTGGAATTGCCATGCTACGAATTAAGCAAGTTGATCACACAAGATAAATGAAGGTGTTTGCTCAACTCTTTGGTAACGTTGATAGCTTTTGATAGCTCAAAAATCTGGAAATTTCGCGTTGCCACTAGAATTTGGATACGGATGAAGATTTACCGTATATCGATAAAACCTTCACCATTGTTCTGGAGCCTCGCTTAAACGATCTTAGCGTTGTGCACGGTTGTGCTATCCTGTAGAAAGCACCAATACCTCTCCTTGAAATGTGTATAGGTTCAAGCCAACAGTTCCTTCTTCAAGATGCTCCCCAAGTAGGGGGCACTCATAAGATAATGACGGTGGCGCGTCCGCGCGATTTTTCCACACGCATACGATTTTTCCTCTTCCTCCTTTTCTGCTACGCATAAATGCATAGCATTCGCATACTAGATGGCTAAGCTGAGCGTTGAGATGATATGCCTAATTAAGGAATATGTCTATTGCATGAGTGCTTGATGCATTGTGAGCGCAAACGACAGTCAAATCCATAGTCGCGCTTTTATATTTATTTTTTAAGTAATAGCGTTTACTATGATGCCCCATGGCACAAAGATCAGCGGCTTCTTGCCGTTGAAGTGATCGCCGCTTAGACTAATATCGAAGCTACGTGTTCATTTTTTTCTACAAAAAATCTTGCTGATGGCATCTTGCATCGTTTTGAGAATAGTCCTACTGTTTTGATTGTTCAAGACCTGCTCCGCGATGGAGAATCTTTTGTCGAAAAAGAGTATGTCGTGGTGGCTCACCTGACAAGCAGTCGATGGCTGCGTAGATTCAGTTTACAAAGAGAATGAGTGTTTCTTGCATCTTGCAAGGTTTAATCAAAGTTCTGATTTACGGTTGAAGACAGTCCTGCTATTGAACGGTTCTGGAGCCTGCCCAGTCATGCTTTTCTGGGAATACTGACCAAAGCGTTTTTATGTATTTGTCGACTTCTCAAGCAGCGAGCATAAAGTTAAGAGGTTTTTAGTCCACGAGCTCAGGATTTCGGTTTTATAGCCTTTGTACAGAGCCTGGAAAATCAAATTGGTAAGACATTTAGTCAAAAGCACCAGAGGTCAAGATTCGATCCATGACTCAGTAAGTGGAGGCGCAGACGAGCAGCGAAATATAGCAGAAAATACAACGCATCCGGCTCGGTCCCAGATCTCCACGTTACATATTATTTTGTATGCCACGAGATGACTAGGAATGCCGAGACGCTACCGATTTTGAGCATCATTACGACGAGAAAGTCGCATTTTTGTCTGCAGTTAAGAGCATCTGAATATTAACAAGACTTGTCAAGTCCCCAAAATTTGGCATTTCTCGCGAGCAGGTGATGTGAGAAGTAATGTTGCTATTTATGTGAAAATTCTCACGAAAATCTTGTAAATTAGCATGTCTTAGCTTCAGAAACACAAAATATGAATTTTATTGTTCCATCAGTGCAGCTGCAATGATTCGTCATACTTTCTCACTCAATCCGCTTCATTCGAAACTATTTCTAATAACTTAGTAAGTTCAAAATTAAAAAGTTTTCTGTGAATGTTATTCTTTTGGGTAAAGATTGTGCTTTGCCGCATCATAGTGAAAGATGAGAGTACATGATTTAATGATCGCGTGAATGCGAGACAACCTGATAGTGGTTAGGAGGTCATAGCAAGCCATTGTCCAAGCGGCAACTTGTTTGAACCATTTACGGCAGAAAGTGAAGTTTGAATATTTGCATCCTACATAAGAAATCCAGGTGTGCATAAATGACATTGTAGCGGTCAGAGATAGAGCCAGTTTCGGAAGAGATCAAGGCGATATTCAATGTAGTAGGCAGCTATTCTTCGCTAGATGTCTGAAAATGGAAATTACAGCCTATACTTTATCCGTAAACCTATAGTTGCTATCGTACCAATTTCAAAGCAGTTTTGATAATCTTCAATTTTCTGAGTCACAGTAGTCACTAGGGCGGCAGTAATTCCCTCCCCCCTGATCATAAGATAATTGTGGCCGTAACGTCGCCGGCACCGTCGCCAAAAAGCAATCTTCCGCATTTAGACCGTCTGAAGCCTTTTAACAAAAAAAATCAAATTAAGCCACCGCCATTTCGACGAAACCTACCCTAAAACTCGAAATTCAAAAAATCCCACTAGGAAAATATAAATACTCACGGGGCAACAGGTGGCAACTTCGCGAGCTCGTTTGCCGGCAACCTGCCAGTAGCTCATTGGGAGAACTGCCGGCAGGTCAGAAAGCACGATAAATAGTGCTCCTTTATGAGAGAAATGTGCCAGCACCTCGACATGCCTTCATACCATTTCGCTGTCTTTCAGGTCCAAATTTTACAAACGCATGTACTGATCATGCCGTCGTACGGGCGCAACTTGCTTTTGGTTGCTGTAATCGTTGCCGCGGAAAGCCACAAGTGTCGCATTGGTTTAGTGGCTAGCGAGAAGACAATCGAATTCCATGCATGCAAGTTCACGTGTGTGCAGTGCAAACGTTTTCCGGCAATCTGCCTATGGCTAGTCTGCGAGTTCACGCCGGAGTTGGCAACTTTCCGTGATGTGTGCCAACTTGCGGGCTATGATGCCGCGAGGTATGGGTATGGAGAGAAATGTACTATGATGAGAGTTCAAAGTCTTTTATAAGCATCACAGATATGTATTCCGCGTATTTAAGCAGTGAAGAAGCAGAAGTGCTCAAAATATTAGGTCGCGCCGAAAGTTCCGAAAGTACCGCACCATCTTCAAAAATTCACAACTTCTGCTTTTTTCAACCGATTTGCTTGTTTTCATATTTATCTGAGAGAGCAAGTCATTCTCTTTATAGGGGCATCTTAGCGGCATTCTACTGAGCATATACTGCATAGATATAAGCGGTAGAAGAAAATTACTCAAATTTCGAATTTTCTGTGTAGGGTCATAAAAAATCTGAAACCTGCAGTAAAAATCGGAGCAGTCAGTATTACAGGCTCTTTCACCAGCCCTTTCTAACTGTGCAAAGTTTGCGCCAATTGAGCGTCTTTATAAAAAGTTATGATTTCCCTGAAAAATACCAAAATAAATCAAAATTGCTCTTTTGTACTTTTGCTTGCTCGAAAATCATAACTTTATAGGATGCTCAATCAGCATAAACTGTGCACAGTTAGAAAGAGCTGGTGAAAGAGCCTATAATACTCTGCTCCGATTTTTACTGCAGGTTTCAGGTTTTAAGACCCTACACAGAAAACGCAAAATTTGAGTAATTTTCTTCTACCCCTTATATCTTGCAGTATATGCTCAGTAGAATGCCGCTAAGATACCGCTATAAAGAGAATGACTTGCTCTTTCAGATAAATACGAAAACAAGCAAATCGGTTGAAAAAGCGGAAGTTGTGAATTTTTGAAAATTGTGCGAACGAACTTTAGGCACAACCTAATATAAATGCGAAACTACAAAACTTTGTAAAGGAGGCCTTTTTGTATGACCGCAAGCCCACCCAACACTTCCATACTTATCCTTATGGCTTAGAAATTTCTGAACAATAATTTTAAAATGAGAGAGAACTATTTCCCAACTCCGCAAAATGAATGAATCTGATTTCTCATTGAAAGTAACGGAGATAGATTTAGCTCACATCCACAAAACAGACCAGCGATTCTGCTTTTTCTGTGAATCGTAATCGTAATGCAATATGAACAAGAAGTTGGGCATCGAATACGAATTAAATTTCCGCATCAGTTCCAACTTTCATTTCTAGTTTCCGCTCCAGTCACTATAGCATTACGTCTTAAAGCGAAATGCTATGTGTCATATCAGCTGTTCAAAAAGTTCTTCCGATTCCTCTTCTCTGAAGTCCAAAATTGAACGCGAACGCACGGCGCTGGGCGAAAAACCGTCTTTTAGATGGTAGACCGGCAAAACTTGCAAAAGCATGAATTAAAAGTAAGTGCTATACCTCAGATACATAAGGTGCGGAAATTTGATTTGTTTTTGAGTGCTATACCTTATATACTGAGGTATAGCACTTACTATTAGGTTGTAAAGAAAGTTCCCGGGCACTTGCGAAATTTTTTTTCAAATCGCTGTAACTTCAAGCAGATTGATTCTTTTCTAAAGCTCTAAACTTCATTGCAAAGACAATTTTGTCGACAACATATATTTGTCTTGCTGGCTTCTCAGCACCTCGCTGCGGTCCACCAGCATGCGCAGAAGGGAAAAAGGTCGTCGCGAAAAGTGGCCTATTTGCGCAGGATTATCTCATGCAGGATGAGAGCTGGAAAGCTCAGATGTTGTAGTTATATAGAGATCTGCCGGGGCTGTTATGGGGACCATTCATATTTTTGAAGGACTCCCTGCAAAAAAATTTGTCCCAGAAAGTTTGAAAAATCGACCATTTTTTGCCCCCAAAAATGCACCATTTTTCGTGTAATTTGCTTTGAAGTCTTCTCGTTCTGCACAGGGCTGACCAAATCTTTGATTACTGCGAATCTTGTTAGGGTAATGCCTTACACTTCTTTTGGACTCATCACCCAGGCGTGGCGATCCCCGCAGAAGCGACGCCAGCTGCGAAAAGAAATGCAGTCAGTTGCAAGTTCGACGGCTTGTAACTTCTGAGCGCAGATCGCCAAACTCGAGTGCAGCTGCGGGTCAGTACTCAACAGACTTCTCAATCAGATCACCCATGATTTGGACGAAATTCTGTGAACTGCGCAAAAAATGGCCGCAGAAAGAAAAATTGTGAAATTTTTGTGGTCGGAAAGGTTTGCTTTTTTGATGTGCAGATCAGACAAGTTTTAGCATCGATAGAAATCAAAAGCGTTTTGAAAAGTTTAGGCTTCCCTCTACTGAACGGTATGAAAAACTAGTCGTTAAAGTCCGACCGAGCGCCGAAAAAATGCGTCTGAAAATGAAATTTCCAAAAGTGCCCGGGAACTTTCTTTACAACCTAATACTACTACGCTAACTTCACAAATACAAACGCACCTTTTCCAATTTTTCAAGCCAGCAGCTCGGCCGCACTACCGTGGCTCGTGCGGTAGCTCTCCCACATAATTCTTTCAATTAAGAAGGAGCACGATAGCGGGTCCATTGGTCTCGAATCATTTTGGCGTGTTCAAGCTCGTCGAGTTTAGGTAAAAAAAACTGGTGCATCTCAACTCGTGAAGTTAGAGTACTTACTCCGCTACCTGGGGTTTCTTCAAAGCAAGAAATAAATCTTTGGCATCACTGTTTAAAAACTGAGATCTCCACTTGTTTTGGAACGCAGCTAACGCATTTCTTTGAAAAAAAAAGCACCTAGGAGACCAGTCATGTATAGGGTCCAAAAATCGTGGCGCTAGCGCGACCGCACGCGACACGTACGCACTTCCAGCAACTTTTTCTTGGTTTTCATCTCTTTTCAATGATTTTTCCGCTTACGTATGATAGTGTTTAGACACTGGAAATGACTGAGCTAAGCGTTATGGTGATGCCTTTTTAGATGGTGCTTTATGCTCGTGTGGGGCAAAGACCGCAGTCGAATCCGTCGTCACGATTTTAAAAACTGCCTATGCTTTTTGAGGATGCCAGTAACATAACCAGATTATCTACATTGGCAATGACTATGATGAATTTATAGATCAAACTGCATTGGTGAAACGTTTTAAACAACCCAATATATTATGCTTCGAGTTATGCCAGACGGGTCAAAGGTGAAGCCTAATGAATTTTCAGACCTTAGCAAAAGAGCTGAAATGATTAGAGGCATTTACTTTGTAACATTCACATAAAAAGTGTAAGTGATTCTGTAGTGTTCTTTTCTGCGCCTATTCCACAATTTTTACTCAATGTCGTACAAAAGCTTTCCACTAAGTGAGAAAAAACCACACATAGGATTTTGCACAATTTTGGATAAAAATCAACTTGCAATTATTTGAATTTATATGAAAAAACATATAGTCTATTGGGCGTCACATTTCGACGCGATCCTTTGCCAATTCCACATTTCGCAATGCCCATTTGAAGGGCAAAAAGGCTATATAACCAGTAATGCATAAAATCATGAGTGAATAGGTGTAGCACGGGCGTAAAAGATTCCGGTTGACCCCCATCAGACGGTATTTGTCTGGAGGCACTCATTCGAATCGAGGACGCAGCACCGTGCAAGCGGACATCGTTTCAACGTCATCTCAGCCGTTCATATTCCGTTAGCGAACACTGTCCTACGGTACTGAGTAAACTTTTGCATGCCTACTTTGTTGATTCATTGAATTAAACCTTATCTGTGCCTTTGCTCAACTTCCCTACATGACAATTGATGAAATGAATTTGGTTTCACGCAAAATCTGAATTTTAATTATGCCTGTCATATCATACAGATCTGACTTAAAAAGTCTGTTATATCATATGAACATTCAAAAATATAAAACATTGAAAATATACGTTGATCCTGATGATATAGTAGATCATGAGCCATTTCCAATTAGTCCCATGTTCGCATATAGGAGTAAGCCTTCAGAGCTTTTTTGATTTCCAAAAACAAATTAGAGTGTCTCATAATTTTTTACCGTCTTTTACAACCGTCCTCTTTTCGTATTTTTCCATCAATTAATGTTTCTTGAATGACCATTCAACAGAGCTAAGCAAGATCTACAAGTCGGCTATCAACCCAATTCGTATTCCACGTGAACTTTTGAGCTGAAATATGATAGCACTCAAGAACGAACTTTACCTTGAAAAACCTATCTCGGCCCCAAAAAAAAATCTTAAAAGTTTCCCATTTATCCTAGCATATGCTTGATACATCGAACATTCAATTGTACAGTTTCCGTATTTTTTCCATGGTTAAAAACAAAGAAAAAATGAATAGAGTAAATTGGCAAACTCCGCCCCTAGAAGAACTGAGCTCCTCCCACGCACGTGATCATATAGCTCATACATATAAAAGTAAGATCATGTATCTGTACCTTTTGTAGGTGTCCCAGATCATGAGAAACGCTGATGTTTAGAGTAAAAACGGTAAAATATTATGAGACACCTCATACGTTAAGTGAGTAGTTGATCGCCGTTTTACACACAAATTACGGTAGGCATATTGTAACCTCTATAATAAGACGCAAACAACATTTTCAAAGGTAGACCGCTAACAAGTCGTTAGATATGCAATAAAATCATCATCTTTATGATCCTTGTTAGACAAGTAGCTATATCTTCTGTAAAAGCTTTTCTAAAAAATCATTCATTCTGCAGTTTACAAAAATCATTGATTATCGGGCGTTTGTATATACTTTGTCAGTATTTTTTTACAAGTAACAGGACAGACTAATTTTTATCAAAGTTCCCTTCAAGATCTCCACATAATTCCTAATGCGATCGTACGCAAAATCCTAATGTTATTTATCACAAAGAAAAGATTTGGTTGCATGAAAAACCTGATTGAAATTTCGGTGAAAGTAAATGAAAAACTTTTTTTGATGGCATTTTACGTAATTTCCGAGCTAGTCGATGCTATAGAAACGATAAATTATGTTTGCTCAACTTAGAAGCATGATTCAAAGCTTAAAAAAGAGACTTTTTCAGAATTCGATGTATCATGCACTCTTCCCCATATTCCTTTGGCTGCTACCCTTCTGCTCCTCTCTGATCTGCTCAAACGGTACAAGTGCAGTGTTCATCTCAAGGTCCTACCACAATAATCTTGCAAATGGCCTACATTGCTTCGAGAATTGTGCTACATTGAATTGCACCGGCAAGTTTTTACACAACATTTGGAAGAAATATGTTATGGAATTACTAGGATCGGCATGGCAATTGTTATTAGGCGCCACATTTCTTTACCAATAGAGAGGTCATTGAAAAATAATGGGGTGTTGCTCCTTCTTTTTCCTTTAGGACCTCAGGATCCTCAAAATTTACCTACTTTTGAAAGCTATTTTTTGGTAATTTCAAAACAAGTACGTCAAATTGAATCCCAAACCAAAAAAAGGATGAATAAACTTTCGAAAATGGCGTTATTTTCCTTGTTTATAGCAATTGTTCTCAATGAACATTCGTGCGTTTCCTTACATGTGGCTGATTTTCAAGGATTAATAGAAGCGAATAAAGTTCTGACCAAGAGATGTTTAACAGGTAGGTTATTTGTCAATTAAATAAGTAAAAATTTACTGTTTTATGCTTGCAAGTATTTAGGCATTTCTCCTGGAAAGGTGGTACGATTGTATAAGGACAGTTTTCTCGATTATCCTTTCGAAAAAATGACACAAGCTTTGGACGAATATGACTGTCTGAGGATGTGTTTGATGGAGACGGTATGACTCAAAATTTGTAGGCTTGCAAGAGCCTTCAAAATGTATGCAATGCATGTCACGCGCGGCGCGGTTAAATGCCTCTGAGTCAGCAGAGAGAGCATGTCGAAAGAAGATACGCAGACAGGCGAGGCTGCGCCGATATCGTGGTGAACGTCGCGTATCTGCTTAGTGAGCCATCTTGTAATTTCATGGCTAAGCAGGATAATCAAATTATTATTTTCTATTTATTTTATTTACTTTCTATGAGATTCTTTCTTTGTCAAATAGCAGGATAAATTTACTCTCTTTGAAAGTCAGCGTTTTACTGTATTCTGTCTAGGATCCACCATGCAAATCAATCAACTTCTTTGCTGCAAGTAATGAATGTTTATTGAATAATGCAAATTCATTCAATACAAGTATTTTGGATGGCGATGATAGCAATCCTGTTTCTTACATGGAGATACAGCAGGTAAAAGGTAAGTTCTGGCAACCTCAAATTGCTATTGGTAAGTTTGGGACCAACCTTCTCTATCTAAGATGCGTGTTTGAAATTCTATTCACACTTAGGTAGGGACTGTTTACTCAGTAAGCGGGTCAACCTTACTGAGGCGTAAAATATCGCTTCAGTGAATCATAGTGTGCCTCATTGAGTTTGGTGATTCATGTTACAAAATTTAGACACAAAAATTATATCACTTCAAAATATCGAGAAAATTTCTTTGGGAGGAGATCACGACTATCCTACATAATGTTCTGAAAAAGTTTTGCGAGGCTTACTATTCTAATAAAAATTAGTATATTTCGTAAATTCTTACATAAAAGCAAAACACCGCCCTTTGGTCAGCCATTGCTACAGAGCCAATCTCATTTTTCAATTGATTAATGCTTTAGAGAAAAAGAAGTGCAAAAACTCGTTTCACATGATTCCATGGAATGAAATGGTGCTCAGAGGAGAGGCCCAACTATTAAATGTCGCTGGAGGTCATGCAAAGGTATTTTCAAAAATCAAGGTTTCAAGCTGAGAATTTAGCATATTTCAGTGCTTAAAAATGTGCAATGACTGCGACTATGTTGTGTACAACGAATATTATTCTGAGTGTTTCTTGATTTATTATGATCATTATGGTCAGAAATTCAACTTTATCACCGATGATTATCAGGTAAGCGCATTATTTCTATGAAATTTGAAAAAAAGTAATTGCAGTTAGATCTTTGTACACTTTAAGGCTGTTGAGTCTTGATCTAGCCTAAGGATTTCTTGCAAACTACCAGAAGTTCAAAATTAACTCACTTTTGTCTCTTTTCTTTATTCAGTGGAAGCAAAGAAGTGTACTGCACCAATTTTTACTGTTGTCTAGGTACCCGAGAATGAGTCGCAAAATTTATAGAGTCCCACTTAACGAGTTGCAAAAATGTGCAAGTGACGTATTTAGATTTGTAAAAGTCGAGTTTTTTTTGATCCAAATTAATTTAGCTTTCTGAAGAGAATTTCGCGTTTTAAAGTTTTTACGTTTCACGCCATGCCCCCTTTCAGAATTTTCGTGGTTACGGGCCCGCAGAATTTTGGAAAGCAGAATGTTTGGATTGCGTGGCTAACGTACTCACCTTCATCAGAAAAAAGTTTTTGCCGCGTTCTCTTCCCCCTTCCCTCTCTCCCCTCCCCTTCCCCGAACGGAAATCCTGAGTAGCCCACTGGTAGACATATAAGTCCGAAAGATTCCTTGCAAAGACTTTGTTTTTGTACGCTCGATTTTTTTTGTTATTTTCTATAAAGGTATTGACTTAAAGCGTTGTACCAAAATTTGCCTCGAGTGAATGAGTAGGCTTCAAAGAGGAGATGGATATTTCCAGTTCAGAAGTGCCAAGTGAATAATTTTAATTTTGATAATATATAATAATTATAATAATTTTATAATTTTATAATTAATAATATAATAATTTTGTTAATTTTGGTTTTTTTCGATTTTCCAAAGCATTGCAATGCCAATTTCATTTTCATTATAGATATCGCAAGCTTACTTTCAGGTTTTCGAAAACATCTGCAGGCATCCGCTTGTGAACTGCTCATCTAAAAATGCTATGTATATATTACATTACCACAAAGATACAGTTCTGAGGAGCCAATGTCTTCAAAAGTTTGTTTTCTTGGCTTGGCTTACTTGTTTACTCTATGATGAATTAAAGATGTATTGATGATCGGCTATGTAAGTATGGATATGTGAAGAATGCAATGTGCTTCATATCTTCACAAAAAGAGCCTTATGAAAAACTTGTTGAGAAGTACTGTGTGGGATTTGAGGAAACAAATGTGGGTAAGTAAACTTCTGAAAGATTTTCTAGTGCAAATGCATTCGTTTTTTTTCTTGTAGGACTTTTGTTTGAAGAAAGCAGCAAGTGCCAGAAGCCCAAGGGTAGTGTCATAGTCGTGGATTCTATAGAGTTGGGTGACTGTATGCAATTATGTCTGACACATCCAACGAAAAGGTAAGAGTTTTTTAAAACTTTTCCGTAAAGCCAACAAATACTATTTTACAGTTGTGAAGCAGTCTCTTATTATCCTGACAGAAAATGTTTACTTTTGTCTGGAGCTGATACGAACCGTGACTCAAACTTAAACATCAGCTTGGAATGTAGGCATTACAAGCTCAATGCGATGAAATTTACAGGAATATGTAAGTTTATCCTAATTAGGTATCAATTAGTTAACAAACTATAATTACAGCCAAGAAAAAGGGTGGTATAAAGCAGAAGTTACGATTAGAAAATGAACTTAATAGAGCTAAAGCACATGGCGTGAGTAGCCGGAAGGAAGTAGGTTCAGTTTTGCCTTTGTCATCAGGCGATTACTTCCTTGATTATGATTTGCAGGAAAACTTCAAGAAGAATTCCTTTACGCAAAGCGGCATCGATCTCAACGTTGAAACTTTTTGCAATTACGACAGCATTGTTGTGAAGGTATTTATGATTATTAAAGGTTTTATGCGCACGCATCACTTTTTTTTGAACGTGACAGATGGGAACATCAAATAGGACCAACTCACAAAGAAAAGCTATTAAAACATTCTGTTAGGTTGCCCGGAAACTGTTGTCCGTTTATTTCATCGCTCACTAAAATTTACAACCAATCCTTAGGTACCATTTGATTCAGTTTTATATCTTCTTTAACAGCTACCCTTTGATTTAAATGGCTTGGCGGCGGGAAGGCGGGGCTTCGTGACCTGCATGAGGCTAGATAATGATCAGAGAGCATGCGAGCGCCAGAGACGCAGACTGCCTCGCGGGCGCGAACGGCCTTAATTAGGTTACAAAGTCTCGCCTTCAAGGCGCCAAGCCAGTTGAATCAAAAGATAGGTTTGCTTTCTGACCTTATCTTTGCAGTGTCATCGCCATGGCATTTTGAGCACCCCAGCAGTAAAGACAGATCTTTCCTGAATTTTAGAAACTTATATTTTGATTTTTTTCAAAGAGCGCTAGTAAATGATATGTAGAGCAAACCTTTGGCTACATCTTACCAAATTCAGATTACATGGGCGAGTTTACCAAGTTTGTTATAATGATTTTATTCAATAAACCGTGCTTTTTGATGGTTTACTACGTAAAAGTACTGAAAATCCAAAAGGCTGCTTTTTCAGAACAAATCAAACTTGGTCATGTTGCATAAATATAGTTCAATAGGAATCATGTTTCGATTCGCAGAAACCCCAAAAGCTTTCCTATACAGGGTGTCCCAAAAAAATGTATCGAACGTTTGATCGTTAATATCTCTCTTCCCAAGAAGTTTTTTGCCTTGCTTCAAGTACCATTTTGTAGAGCTGTCTTCAACTTAGATTTTCATTATAGAACGAATCACCCATCTCTCTTCATTACTGTAGGATTACGGTAGAAACTTGAAACATATGGTGTCAATGTAGAAAAAGCTGCCGTTTCGAAATTTTTCAAAAAAAAAATGTGAAAACTTGTGTATTTAGGTTTTTATGGACGCTGAGTTCAATACTCAACTATACTCAAGATTGCGAAGCTTTCTAAACGGTGTAACCGCACTTTTTAGGAACATTGAAAAAATGGCCGCTACCTCTTACCTGGCATAACTCTTCAATGAAGTATCATAATAAGTTGGAAACTTTACAGTTACAATCAGCAGCTCTAATTAGCTTAGTGTAAAAGTTTTCAGGCTGTTTTGTTTCCTTTCTGAGGCAAAATATGGCCTTTCATGGCTCAAAACCCTCTTTGAAGTTTCTACCGTAATCCTACAGTAATGGAGAGAGATGAGTGATTGGTTCTATTATGCAAATCTAAGTTGAAGCCAGCTCTACAGATTGGTACCTGAAGCAAGAAAAAACACTTCTTCAGATAGGACATATTAACGATCGAACGTTCGATACATTTTTTTGGGACGCCCTGTATATGCTGTAGTTGCGTGTTCCATGACTTTGCCAAAAATCGACAATTTCGAAGAAATTATTTTTCGAAGCTAGAAGCGACAAATTAGGAGAGTCTAAAAATAGTCCCTTGTACGAGGTTGCTCTATTTCATCCATACTTAACCCTTTCCGAAACATTGGAGTGAAATTTTGAAAATTAGGCTAACCCTAAGCAGATAAAATTGACGGTGGAGAATTTTGGCAGTTATCAAAAAAAGCATCCAAGATTGTGATTCTTAAATGCATCCATAAGGAAGAAAGAAAAAGCTGCATTGAATGCATGTTGAAACTCATTCAAGTCCTTACTGTGCGCGGTTTTATAGTGGTTTGAAAAAACGGACAAGACTTTGGGACCCTGATATATTAGGCTTTAAACTAAGTTTTGCAACTGCTTTCATAACTCAGCTTTCTTTGGATAAGGCGCACTCAAACTTTGACATTATGTAAGCGTAATATTAGCTAATAAAAACTCCAGAACTGCCTGAATTTTGAAAGCGAGAAAATTGCCAGTCATTTTCCGAAAACTACTGAATTTTTAGAATTTTTGGGGTTATAAGCCAAAAGAAGCCGTTAGCAGCCTAGACCATATGCAATAATCGCGAAATCGTGTACAAGTTGTTGTTAAAGGTTGATCCATTTGGCTCACCAGGAAAGAAATAAATTCTAGGGGCAAATCGAGATTTGCCGCCCTCACAAATTCGAGCGAGTCACTGTACGCCAAGGCTGCTGGGCACAACCGTCCATGACTAAGGGATCAGAACCACAAAATTCCCCGAGCCTTTACATACTGAGGTTCTTTGAGCTGCTAAACGCAAATATCATATTCATTTGTTGAACCAACGCCTCTTTCCTTGTTTAGGGTGAGAGCCTATATCGTACTCCTACAGTAATCTTTCAAAAAGCCCTTATCACGCAACTTTAGCATCGTATTCGAGATCAGCATGTCAGATAACTCCACTACGCCAAGTTTCAGCCGAATCTGTCGTTACAATTTTTATCTTTATACCGTATACCTACCGTGACCCTCAGTGCAATGTCGGAATTTGATACAACAGCAGCTCGCTTGTAGCTTACGTCAACCAACACCGTGGCAGAATTTGAGTGCGCCATGTTGAGTGAGAGGAAAGTTACCGAATGAGTTGCAAAACTTAGTTTCCAACCTAATATTAGATCGTTTCGAAAGCTCTTTCTGTTTTTTCAACCTATCATAAAAAACTTATGGAATAGAGATAGGCAAACGTTTCAAAACTATTCGACGCAGCTTTTTCCTCTTTTCAACTGTTATGCTCATGTGCTGGTCAATCTTATGGTCACTGAGATAATCGCCGAAATTTTGGACCCATAGTACCATGTCCAATTTTTGCAATTTTTCACAATCTTCTTTTTTGACTTTTAAAAATGCATTGGTAGCAGTCAGCTAGAGTAAACAAAGCGCAATGTAATACAATTTTTCGGGGTCTATAACTAGCCCCAAGAATTTTTAGAATTATTTTTCTGGTGCTATCAGGTTCCACTGGTGATGCCAAGAGCCATAGAACATAAAACGGCTGATTAATAAAAGGAAAAAGGTTTGGCGTCTTTACTACCCTTTGCGGGCATGCGCCAAAGACATTTTATTTCATAGTCGAAAGGCTACTAATGTGTGTACGCCTTTTTACAATGACTTCTTGGGCAGGCCGGTTAACATGTCATGCTTATGTCTTTTCAAATTACTTCGGTACCAATCTACCGTCCCCGGGGGGCAATGAACTTGGTTGGCCTGGGGTGGGACCGAATTTTGGCCCGACCTGGTCATAACGGCCCTTCATGCCGCTACGTCCTTGTTGATTATGAGACCAGCCAATCATTTTTCGTCTGGCAGGATTTTGTTCTTAGATCAACGCACCTGTACCGGTCTTTGGTAAGGTCTTTCCTCGAAATGCTTATAAGAACTGCTCTGTTGCCATCAATGGTACAAAAGCGGAGTTAAGAATGCCTTTGCACACAAGCGAATGCTCTCTCACTAAGGTCAGTTTATCCATAGTTAGAAATCAAACAGCATTCTGAAGCCTACTTTACCTTACAGAATGGTCTGGTGTACGAAAATGTCATCGTGGTAAAGCAAAATTCGTTGAGCGAATTACCTGTAATTACCGAATATGACCACCTCTATCGTATCTCGTGTGATTACACACAACATGCAACGAAAATCGCTGCAACAAGTATTTTGCAGTTAAGGTAGATTTTGACAGAAAAGAAGTTGGCAGGCAAAACCGTGAGAATTTTTCAGAAATACGGATTACAATACAGTAGCACCACCAGGAAAAGTGCGACACAGCCCAATGAAAATGGAACTCGCTTCGAAATTGAAAAAAGAGGTAATATAGATGGCCAAGACTCGAAGCAGAAATATGCCTCACAACATGTCTAACATGCCTCAGCGGCTTTTTCAAATTGTAAAGTTACAATTAGGTTTTGTAGCATAGCATGCGTTCTGGAATCAGTCTTTTTGCCATATGTAACCAACAAATCTTATGTTGCAGTATTCGAAGTGGTTTCATATTTACTAACTTTTCTTATTTGAACTTTCTGGGTTGACAAGCGGTTGAGGTGTTGGAAAAACCCTCTTTTGAAATAAAAATTAAAAGGAAGTTTTTCTACGCTTTTGGCACTGTGCTTACCCTTCCCTTAGTGCGAAATGTGCAGCCGCTTTTATTGTCAAACTTTTTTTGAGCTCGTGGTCCCAGCGAGCATATGAAGTTATAGGCAGTGCCCGGGCAAAAAGTCGATCTTGAGATTTTGTGTTTATCCGGGCCTATTCGCTATGCTGGATCCGAAAATTACCACTAGAGAGCGCGAAAACGGCGAAAAGGGGCTTTAACGCAGGAGAAAAATCAGCAGGGGCGGGGCTCGCGCCAGGTGGATTCACGCTCCCGCTTCCGGAGCGATCTTCTCGGTTCCGACCTCAAGTCACGCGTTTGCACTTGGCAGGTAGCGATGTTAGGGCGATAAAGGAACCGACGCCATTGTTCCGGAAGCTGGGAGCGTGAATCCACTCTGACGCGAGCCCCGCTCCCTGATAATTTTCCTCCTGCTTTAAAGCCCTTTTACGCCGTTTTCGCGCTCTTTAGTGCTGATTATCGGATTCAGCAAAGCGAATAGGCCTTGTTAAGCACGAAGTCTCGAAATCGACTTTTCGCCCGGACTCTGCCTCTAAGATAATCCAGATATAAGTTCAACTACCTTCAACAACTCCGTTTTCAGACTAAGACGGTCATCTTGGGACAAAGTGTTGACTTGAAAATTGAGGACACCGACAATTTGATTGGAACAAACTTCACAGTTTCTAAATGTGTGGCAAAGGACGCGAAAGGAGAAGACAAAATTACAATCATCGAGGATGGGTAAGTTATAGGCTTTGAAAGAATTAGCTTTGTTGAAAGAATTAGCTCTGTAAGTCCGCCGTCTCTTCTATTCAGATGCCCCACGGCGGCCGCTAGGGAGTACATAATACGAGGAAGCATTGAGAAAGGAGCGAAAGGCTTCTCAATACCGTTGCGAGCTTTTCGGTTCAAAAATGGCGATGGAGTTAAGATCACATGCCAGCTGCATGCGTGTGTAGAAGAGTGTGTTCAGGTAAGCGTATGCTTCGTGAGCCAAATCAGATTATTGCGTCAGGTTACGCTCTGTGTCCGCTTCAAAAATCTATGTACTAATCCAACCACTTTTTCATTCACATCAAAATTGCTTTTCAGCGCCCTTGCTCAAGAAAAACGAGGAAGCGGCGATATCTACCGCACGAGCCTGTATCACAGGAAAATGGGGAGGAAGTGGAGATATCTCTGATTGTTAACGATGAAACATCTCCAAAAGGTGCCCTATTAACCGACACATAAGAGTAGAACACTTTTTCACCTCTTTCAGAGCAATTCTGTGTGACTCGCACTGGTTTGATCTCCTTCTCAACAATCGCCTCCTTCACACTGTTTTTGCAGTTCCTGGTTTTGCTGAGACTGCAGCATATACAGAAGACGAGAAAATCTTTATAGTAATAAAATGCAGTAAATGTGAGGACGCAATAAAGCTACTAATACATCGTCGTTTGAGACGCGCAATCGAGGTTAACGCGGTTCATTGTTGAATTTATTTTGTTCAGGCGCTAGTGCTAAAAAGTGCAGCAATTGAGATACTGGTCATCTTTATGCAGAACTCTTCTTCCACGTTCGCAAACATGATAAAATTCTCATTACGACAAGATCACACCAAAACATCAACTCTCTAGTCGAATGAGGGTTATATTTTGAGTGCAAATGAAATTTTGCAGTAAAAGATACGATAAATGACAGTAAGACTTCCTGGGCGCGCGCACAAGTCAAAGTCCAATCGTGGTGGGACGCACTGGATAGAACATGAAGCGCTGATTCTACAGTCTTTTTCAGCCCGGAGTAGGCGAAACATTCCAAATGGAGCAGCGCGTCCGCGCCGCTACTGGCTCAGAGAGATAGATTCAAATGAAGAGACGCAGACTGCAAAGCGGCGCAAATCGTTGTGAAGCGGACTCCGCCAATCCAATTTCCGCCTAGATTGAGTTGAAACTTACTATATCTTTGAGGCTATCGACAGTGTGCGCAGCTTCCTTCAGCACAGTGGGGATAGATGGGGCGGCGTACGCAGTACGCAGCATACGCACACTACACGAAGATATGTGGCGTAGGCTGCCTACGCCGCGCACTTTCTCTCAACTCAAATTATGATATTACTACTTTACAGTAAAGGCTAAGCCCGTTTCTCTTTTTGTTTGCATGTACATATCTGTGTGTCCGTAGTTATATTAGACAGGACGAAAAAGTGAGCAGGCACACTTTTATGCACGTGTACGTACGCGATGTACTCAACTACGCCTATACCTGTATGGACATGTACGTGCTCTGCCCATGTAACCTACAACCGTACCTCGCGCAGTCTGGCCCTTGAAGTTGTGAATACACGCATTATCCACGACCGCTTCGCAGGATCCGTCTCTTGCCCTTTTGTTGAGCTCTTTTTGGAAGGCATGTAAACGCCATCCTATAGCGCTAAAATTTTCTGCTTAATTCATAACATCCTTGTAGTTCAAAATAAATTGCAGTCTATAGACGAATGACACTAGCATAAAATTGGTTGATGCAAGGAGAAAGCCTTGTGACTTTTTCTGAACATTGTGCAGTTGTTGTAAGATATTTGGTAACTCTATTTGACACATTCACCATAAAAGAGCCCATTTCTGAGTTGTTTCGGACGGTACAACTCACCGGTGGGTCGTATCTTCAAACACTGGAAGTTTACGATGAGATTGATATTTCACATGAGATTTCGCACATGTTTGGACACATCTTCGCGGACCTCTAAATCGTACTTTTCTTCGCACTGTACGATGCATCGGTGTTCAAAAAACACGAAAAAGTTGGCACCATAGGTCACAGCTCCCGCTCCGCACGGCCGCATCGCCTAAACCCTGCGCCACGTCTGCGATGCGTGACCCGGGCATTTTGCCAGGCCTCGATCGATGGCGCCGGCGCTGAAATTGTATTTTTTTGGCTGCTTCGTCTCTTTCTTTTCGTTTTTTTCGCTCACTTTGCTCTTATCTAGCCTCATGGTAATTTTGCGGTGTCATCTCATGCCGACAATCTGCGTCACAGTTCTTTTGTGCACCTAACTGGTGTTTTATGGGATTATCTCGTTTACTTTATCTCGCTTCTTCGTTTTTCGCGCTGTGGTCCCTCAGAAAGTTTTATCGTAGTTCTGTGATGAAGTAATATGCCGAAATTCAGCGCAATAGTTTTTTTCTAGACCTATGGTATTTGTAGGATTCCTAGCTCCCGTTCTTATCGCCATGCAAATGTAGGAGCTGTGTGTTTGTCTGCTGTGAGGGACGACGGCGCGAAAAAACGAAGAAACGAGACAAAGTGAACGAGAAAATCCCACCTCTGCCAATCCAAAATTCCAAAACATCAGCTAAGTGCACAAAAGAACTGTGACGCAGATTGTCAGCATGAGATGACATCGCAAAATTATCATGAGGCTAGGTGAGGGCAAAGTGAGCGAAAGAACGAAGAAAAGAGACGAAACGGCCGAGAGAATACAATGTCAATGTCAGCGCCGGCGCCATCGATCGAGGCCTGGCAAAATGCCCGGGTCACGCATCGCAGACGCGGCGCAGAGTTTAGGTGATGCGGCCGTACGAGGAAGGCTGCTGGTGTAAGCGACTGTATGATTGAGGAGCCCTGTATGTCCGATACTTTAAATGTCTAAAAAATGTCATGGTCGTGAATGTGTTGATACCATTTGATCTCTTCCCCGTAATCGTCAACTTGCAGGGCACCTTAGAAAGGTTGATCAGAAAGAGTTAGAAAGAATAATAATACTCAACTGATAGTTAACTCATAATTAAAGTTTGGTAATGCAGCTTTTCTATATTTAGCGTCAAAACGTCACTTATCATATTACTTATCATACCGTTGTAATGTGTTGTAGTCCTTGTCTGTTGAAGTTGAGTCGAACCGGACACAGTGGAATATTCAGTGGTTTATTAGCTGATCAGAATAGTGAATGAATGCGAATGAATCATCAGTTGGTTACGATACCTATATATTAGGTCGTTCCGAAAGTAATGTCGCTTTTTTCGAATGAACGCCACTCCACTATCCGTGGAATCAACATTTTGAGAGATCTTAGAAGCATTCGATGCAGCATTTCATCCTCTTTCTAATGATTTTAATTTCTCTGCATAATGTTTAATGAGCTCTCGAAAAATTACCAAAATCTGCGACTCATGCTTTTTGCCATGGTCAAGTTCGCCTATTTTTCTTAATTTTTGGACCTAATCTCCAAAAAAGTTCAAGCGGCAGGTAGAAAGAGGAAACACTATAGAATACAGAGTAATTTTTTCTTTTCCTTAACTTGCTTCTTAGAGTTTCTGGAATCAATTCTCCAATGCCATCAAATTCCATATTTGGTCAACACAAATCTCTCAGAGCAACAACCTGCAAGCAACTTGGATGGCATTCGACGCAGCTTGTTCTCCTCTTTCTACATGTTGTTTTTGGTTTCCGATTCATCAAGTACGGGATAAAATCATCATAATTTAACTTTTCCAAGGCACCCTCAAGGTGCACCCGAAATTTTCGAAAGTTGCTAAACCGAAGCGGTGAATGCTCGTTTGGTTTGTAAAATTGTTGCCAAACCATAATCCATCTTTCTAAGTCTCAAAATCTGAAGACTTGTTGACGTTTGATGCACTTGTGTCTGAGACGGGCCTGCTAAAATTCGGTGGTTCCATCAAAAAATCGTACAAGAATTATGACGAGCTCTGAAAAGTAGAAAAAAGCTGTGCTGTTTCTTGTAGGGTTTGCTCCATCCATCCATAACTTGGACTCCTTCTGAGGTTTGTTATAAAATTTTGAAAAAAATGTGAAACTTGGCCATCTCAAGCATAGGTCGCAGATTTTGACTCTTTTCTGGAAGCTCATTGACTTTATTGCAACAACTTCATAACCATTAGAAAGAGAATGAAATGCTGCATCAAATGCTACCAGAATCTCTTACACATCCTTGTGCCACGAGATGTGGCATACGTTTGAAAAAAGCGACATTACTTTCGAAACGACCTAATATATATAGATACGCCTCTGAGAACGTACCATTCGGTACCAGGCACCTAGGAGAACGGGCGGGAAACTCATGGGAAACTGAGTTCGAAACTAATAACCGAACAAGATATCGAATCACAACGAGAGACAATGATGAGACAATACAAAACAAATATAGTACATAATACATCACTCCCCAGCATAATGTGATGTGAGTTTCCACTCAACAATGATCATTTTCTATTTCTTACGTGGTTGATTCACAATTATTAGGTTGATGCAAAAGGAATGGCCGATTTGCGAATTCTCACTTTGATGTGCTATAACTTTCTGAAAGATCCACATTTCTGAATGCGCTAAAGACCTTCAGAAGCACCAAATCTTTCGCAATACAGCGCATACTTATTTATACTCAAACCCTAAAAGGGAAGAGAAATACGAACTAAAAGACAAAAAAGGTTCTTCTGAGGGAACCTTGTTTTTGACAATTCATAACTTCCTTCAGAGTTTCTTAGTATGAATGAAAAGTGGCCTATCTTGTAGCCGCAAGTCAGTAGTACAAAATACATTAAAATTGAAATTTAAAATTTCTCAGTTTTTTCAACATTTTTTTAGTGTGCCTCAAGGTCCGGAATATAGAATTTTCTGATTTTCTTCGTACTGAACAGCTGGATGTCTTTGCAAAAACTGCTAATAAATGTCCTAGCTCTACGCTTACAGAATTGTGCAAAGCTTTGGCGACTGACTTCCTCAAAAGAAAATTATGGGTCATAAAATGACCGCAACAGCTACCCATATTTAGGCTCCGATATCTCAGTCTGGATAGCTTTAAAGAATGCAGTCAAGTATGCATAATGTAGAAAATTTCTATTACATACAATAGCTAAATTTTTGAAGAAATCCCATTGATACGCGCTTGAATTCTGGCCGGAAAAGTGAGTGCAAAGAAATTCTGAATTCGGATGCAGTTATTTACAGCTTAGCAACTTTATAAGAAATGAGGATGAGAGCCCGTTTCAAGCACCATTAGATAGAGCATGAAAACAGCTTTGCGACAATATACTACCTCCATTGTAAAGAAGAAGTATTGATAAAAAAAGTTGCCCTGAAAAAAGGCTTGGAAAATCGGTTATTTCTTTTGCATCAACCTAATAATACCTCATAATGCTCAATTTCTACCATTATCGTTGTCGCCTACCAAAACATGGATTTTATGCCTTAAGCAATCATTGCCAACAAAAACTATAATTTTCTGCTGCAAGAAACATTATTGATCGGGAAAAAGCAAATTTTGTAAATAAAATGAAAATGTCACTATACTCTATGGCCCGTAGTAAAGCTCGATCAGTTCAGGTGAACTGAGCTTAACGCATCAGTTGAGCTTACTTCAGGTGAAATGATGACCGCCCACCTTCTGATGCGTTAAGTTCAGTTCACCTGAACTGATCGAGCTTTACTACGGCTATAAGCATCCCAAGTGAACTGACAGTAGGCCATCCGTCCACCTGCTGCAGTCAGATGTTGCACATCAGTTCACGTTCAGTTGACCTGAACGTGAACTAGTCTTAGAGTAGTGTAAGTAGTATGTAGAACAGGAGACGCAAAAAAACTCCCGTCAGTTGCTCTTGAGTAACTTACGATACACATCAATTTGCCTAACATGCAGACAAAATCGGCGCAAAACTGCACAATACCGCGGCCTGAAAAAGAGAGAATAAATAAACAGAAAAGAAAATCAATAAACAGCTGATTTTGGCGTGGCAAAGGAAACAGATTTTTTTCTTTTTTGTAAAGTTTGTTTACTTTTTTTCGATTAGCTGCTCGAGATAAGAATTTATTGATTCAATTCATTGATTTCATGTTGCAACCATTTAATTTTTTCATGAAATTTTCGTCAAAAAATGTGTTCTTGTTTTAATCATGCATGTGCTAGGCGATATCCTTGATAGCGTCATCATAGATTTTGCGAAAGCGGTCGCTATCAAAGAAGCCAGGCGATGCAGCAGAAGTGTGGCGCTAGCCGCAACCATGGCCGCGCGCGCTCAATTCCAGTCGCTTAGCTGTTCGACCAAACCGGCTCCAGTGGTTCCTTTTCAAGAACGCACATAATTGTCATAATTTGAAAGCGATCCGCATCCAGATCAATAGCTCACTGGATGCTAGATGAGGCGTCGTGAGTTCAACTTAAGCCCGCACCAGTCGAGTTGCACTGATGGGAATTTACTACGGGCCTATCTTTCTAGACAACTCGTAAGGGAAGCTACCTAACTTAGCTCGGCCTTTCGGTGAAGGACGTATATATATATTCTCAATCAGTTTCGAAAGCTAATTCCGAATATGCTATTCCTAGCGGCGGCGCACCGTTCCGAAGCGAGTTATGATTTTTTATCACGGCGAATTGGCGCACTACTGAACATGGAAAGACTGTCTGTAGGTAAAAATCTGCAGGAAAAAATATTGAAATAGCATCAAATCCACTCTTTTCTCACTAAAAACAAGCTTAACGCAAGTATATTAACACTTACAAGATCATGCCGCGTTGCCAGTAAGTCGATAATTATGCAAACTGTGCACAAAAAAAGTCAATAGTTTGCTTCAGATTGATGCACCGCAGCTAGGAATAATATATCTGGAATCAACGTTCAAAGGTGCTTCAGGATGTATAAGTTTCTTTTTGAAAGGCCGAGCTAAGTTAGGTACCTTCCTTTGTCAGCTTCATTCTCATCTCGTAGTCTAACAAGTGTTGCAAAGTTTAGAATGTTACGCGATTCTCAAGTAAAGACTAGTATTACGCTTTCCTTACGTTTCTCAAGCATTGAACACACTACAGGCGGCAGACATCCTTGAGCTTCAATTAGGGACTGATTCCACTCTAAGTATAAACAAAACCATTGCTTTGAGTTGAGCACAAAGAAATACTCTCAAATGAGTGCAGCGAATAGATACCTCGTTTCACTAAGTGGAGTAAAGGAGCATTGCGCGGCTTGACTATAAATGTTGTTGTGGTAATAACTGGGACACTGACAACTATGAATTCCTTTCACATCATCTTCGCACTCCTCGTCGTTAGTGAGAGGTCAGCTTTCATCCCAAATTGCAAGTGAAGTTTTTGCGAGATAGTTCGACATGTCAGCGATATCATTCATCATTTTCAGGTCCCAAGCGTCAAATTATGCTATACCCGGGGCAGAAATAGAAGGTACGTAATAAATGCAGTAAGTCCAATTGAATATTCTGAGTGTATTTCAACTCAATGCGAAAGCTCTTTTGTTGTCTTTGCTGGAAGTGCAGATAAAATCTCAAATACATCTGTACTCAAGAGATTGAACGTAATGTTGTTTGATTTCAGAACCGACAACTCTAGCTATTCCAGCAGAATCACACCCAGACGTTGCAATAGCCCCTGCTCCTGCTACCGTATCAGCTGTCGCAGACGCGGCAGTAGTTGCGCCTGCTCCAGCCATTGCGACTGCTCCACTTCCAGCCCCTATTCTTGCTGTTGCGCCATTCCTAATACTGGCGTTTGCTCCTGTTGTAGCTCCTGCTCCAGTAGCAACACTACCAGCTGTGGCAGAAGGGGCAACAGTCGTAGCCGCAGCGCCAACTGTTGCATCAGCTTCAGTTGTAGTCGCTCCAGCTCCTGTGATTGCTGCTCCAGCGGCAGTTGTTGCTTCAGCTCCAGTCGCAGTTGCTCCTGTTCTAGCGACGGCTGCATTCAATCCTTATATTTCCCCGTATGCAATGGTCAGAACTTATTAATATGTCAAATGTTTCTTGATCGAGTAATTACGATTTAAGTATGCCAATCACTACTTCCCGCGCACTGAAGTTCATAACGTTGTTCGATCTTACAAGAAAGGTAATGTTTACTTTAATTTTATGACTTTTGTGCAAACTCGTTTCTACAGAAAGGGGACATTCGTCTGATACTACGATGATTTCCGGACTTTTTCCTAATCAACTCGGAGTTCCCCATGCTCACACTGTCGAAACGCCGGTGGTAGCCGCTCCTATAATTGAGGCCCCGATGGTAGCCCCTGTGAGAGCAGCACGAGATCATCGACAGAAGACTGTAAAGAAGACGGTTCGCATACATAAGGCTTTCGAAAAGAAAATTTGATATTTGATAAGTACTTTGTTGTTGGATGCAGATCGCTTGGTAACCAGCGGCGGTCCCAGGATCCGTCCTGGGGAGGGGCGGCATAAAAAAATTTTCTGAGTGAATGTACGTGGCGTTAGCTACGCATACCAAAAAAAATTTTGGGGGTCCTCTCAAAACTTTTGCGGGCGCATAACCAGTGACCTAAAAATTTTTTTGCAGTGTTGATTTGTATTTTGAATGTTAATAATTCTCTTGTCATGGAGTCTTTTAAGCTTTAGGTACCAATTTGTAGAGCTGGCTTTAACTTAGATTTACAATATGAAGCGAGTTACCGATCTTCTTCATTACTGTAGGATTATAGTAGGAACTTTGAAGAGAGTTTTGCGTCATGAGAGTTATGTTTACTTTTAAGAAAGGACTAGAGAAGCTGAAAACTTTCAACCAGGCTAACCAGGGTCGTGATTCCAAATGTGAATCTCGCACTTCACCATGATGCTGTTATCCTAGGTTATGCCAGTTATAACGTAACTTTCTGATGTTCGTCGAAAATTTTATTAGGGCAGTTAAAAAGCTCTGCGAACATGTTACAAATTCTGTTTGGAAATTTTTTTTTGTACGGCGTATCTCACAGTTGACGCCATATGCTGCGAGTTTCCACCGTGGTAAAAAAAGATCGGTAATTCGCTCTATGTTGTAAATCTAAGTTGAAGTCAGCTTTACAAAAAGTAACCTACCCTGATTTTACGCGCATAAGGCGCACTTTTTCGAACTTTCAAGCGAGCCGCTCACGGCTTCACTGTATTCCGGAATGAAATCCTTACATCACACGATTCTCTCAAGCAATATACAGCACGTTATAGGGTCCTTTGGTTGCAAAGTCCTTTGGCTTATCTGGGCTGGTCGATTTTGGAAAAAAATCCCCCGCGCCTTATACGCATGAAATTAGGGTAATTTTTTTTTCCGAAAAATCTCATGACAAGAGAGTTACCAAGAATCAAACAGTAGGCACATTTTCTGGGACACCCTGTTATACAGTGTTCGAAACACAATTTTTTCTAATGGACCTCTGAGGCTGAAATTCTCTCCTTTATAAACAAGTCACGGTGCAGGTTATAGACTAGTGGCGAGTCACTGGGTCCTTCTATCGATATATTGATTTGTTTACTTTCATTCAAGGAGAATAAAGCTTATAATCGTTGTTCGAGTCATTTCCTCAAGTCAAAAGAAGGGGGCTGTAACGGCTATGTACATTTTGCGGCGAGGAGGATGCGGTGTCACGAAGCGGGAGGCCAAAAAGGAAGACAAATCGTCCACGGCAACACTGCTGCAGGACTCAAAGCAAGAGCACGTAATAGGAAATGAAGGGACAGTGCGACTTAAAGTAGAGCAATAAAAAGGAGGTATTTGTGGTATAAAATATTACTACTACTGCGATTTGCGGGGCTAATTTGGACCCACGGTCCAGGCTGGACCGGGACGCTGGCTAGTATGCAACAAAACTGCTTAGCAAGTGTCCTCAGGAAACTCTTTGTATGTTGCGAGTGCACATTCGTTTTTTGACTTGAAATTATTAACTCAACGCAAATGTAGGTACCCCACGAACAATTTTTCTTTCATATACAATCAACATATATTAGTTTCGATTTTTTTCAAACTCGGCAAACAGAAAGTGGTTTCTGACACGAAGAAGCTGATAAAAATTTTGCAAGATTCTGCTTGGAAAAACTAGTGTGACCGATTACTACCAAAACAATTTTGTATCCCAAACCCTTTATCTAGACTTCGTATACGAAAAGGGAGAATCAACTTCGGTTTTATAAGCGGTGAGCAAAATAAAACATCTATTATATCGTAGTTAATGTGCATTCTACTTGTAAGTTACGAAACGGCTGAACTACATGTGTAGGACCTTGTATTCTTGTTATAAAAATGCTTACTTTGTAAGGCTTGTCTTCCTTTAACGTGCCCAAACGGTGTTGTAAGGACCAAATGCACTACATCTCTGGAAAGGGGAGGGGAGCTGAAAAAAGACGCATCATGTCTCGCTGCTCTGAGTACCTTTAGGCTGCGTTCATACTGATTCCCATGTTCTGGAACTGTTCCCGCACAGTTCTCGCACTGTGCTGAAACTGTGCGGGAACTGTGCGGGAACTGTGCGGGAACAGTTCCAGAACTGTGCTGCATGCTCTGCAGCCGCCCCGCACCGTTTTGAACGGCGGGAGTTGGAGAATTTTGACCGTTTTCAACGGTTTTTCTTCCAGATTTCGCTCATTTTGGCCTTAATCCTCCACCCCGCTTCCCTTTTTGATCAGCAGCACTGCGAACTCGAAGCGGGGTTGAAGAATGAGCGCTTTTCTGCGCCGTGTATTCGGAAAGATGGGCTATCGTGCGATTGTTCATTCTGTCTTCTTGTTTTTTGCTCAAAACTACTTCATTTGTTCCAGGAAGCGGCTGCTTAGTTTCCATAGCCATCTGCCACAAATTAGGGAGTAGGAGAAATCCTGAAATTGCATGAGTTGGGACTTGTCTCTTGCTTTTCATGATTTTGGGCGTTTTAGCCTTGTTCGTTTTTCCATGTCGTTGCTTCTCCGTTCTTTCTTCTACCCCGCTTCTCCTAGTGATGAGAAAAGCTGTGAATTTGAAGCGGGGTTGAGGATTGAACGCTGTTCTGCTCCATGTATCCGGGAATATGGGCCTTCGTGCGCTCGTCCATTCTCTCATCGCTATTTTTGTTCAGACCTATTCATGTGTACTAACAGGTCGCTGCGTAGTCTCGCATCGTCTTAAAATTGAAATAGACAAGTCTTTAGAACACATGAAGTAGGTCTGAACAAAAATAGCGATGAGAGAATGGACGAGCGCACGAAGGCCCATATTCCCGGATACATGGAGCAGAACAGCGTTCAATCCTCAACCCCGCTTCAAATTCACAGCTTTTCTCATCACTAGGAGAAGCGGGGTAGAAGAAAGAACGGAGAAGCAACGACATGGAAAAACGAACAAGGCTAAAACGCCCAAAATCATGAAAAGCAAGAGACAAGTCCCAACTCATGCAATTTCAGGATTTCTCCTACTCCCTAATTTGTGCCAGATGGCTATGGAAACTGAGCAGCCGCTTCCTGGAACAAATGAAGTAGTTTTGAGCAAAAAACAAGAAGACAGAATGAACAATCGCACGATAGCCCATCTTTCCGAATACACGGCGCAGAAAAGCGCTCATTCTTCAACCCCGCTTCGAGTTCGCAGTGCTGCTGATCAAAAAGGGAAGCGGGGTGGAGGATTAAGGCCAAAATAAGCGAAATCTGGAAGAAAAACCGTTGAGAACGGTCAAAATTCTCCAACTCTTGCCGTTCAAAACGGTGCGGGGCGGCTGCAGAGCATGCAGCACAGTTCTGGAACTGTTCCCGCACAGTTCCCGCACAGTTCCCGCACAGTTTCAGCACAGTGCGAGAACTGTGCGGGAACAGTTCCAGAACATGGGAATCAGTATGAACGCAGCCTTATCCTTCTTTGTCTGTCTATCTTACGAAATTCACATACCCTGATACCCGAGCATGATGGAAGCAGGATACTGCATACAAGCTGAGATTATCGATGTTTTGTATGACCCCCTGAAGAATCCTCAGGTGATTGAAAACATGGTCGTCTTTTTCTCATAAACGCGTTTAAAATATTGGAAATTGTACTGATGATATCATATTACTGCTGGGCAGGTTCGCGATAAAAATAAGTGAAATATCAGGACATCAAAATCTCAAACTTTCGTTCGCGGTTCCCTTCACATTCCCTTCAATACCTTCACATTTGTTTGTCCTGTCGTTACTTGCCTAGCAATGCTGTAATAGATCCTCAGTACAACTTTACGATGTCCGGTTTACAAGAAAGTAAACGACTTTGTAAACAAGGGGAATAATTTGGGGATCCCCAAGGTATTACACAAAGCAGTGAAAATCTCGACTTGCAGCAACATTCTGCCATTGATGATAAACAGGTGTCAGGCAGAAGTGCCCTCATAAGGCAGGCAACAAAGAGAAATACACATATCTGGAACAACGATATATGGCGCGTCTCTACTCAGCCCCCTCCTTTCCCCAGCGCAGATGTATAATACGTGCAAGCTTAGAACTTGCTGGTATTTGCAGAGTCGAAATACCTCGATGGTAGGGTGTTACTTCTTCTATAAAGCAGTGTAACTAGTTGTTGAGGGAACTCTTTAAAAGGCAGCTGTAACGCTAGAAATGATGGCGGCGCGCCGTGTTTACGAGACAAGGAGCAATGATGGACAGCTGATACAAAGTCGTTACGCAAGCTCGACTAATGTATACCATGATACACCTAAATCAGTAAGTTTCTGAGCAGTTTCAAGCTATCCATTTTACCTGGTTACATAGTAGTACGTTCTGGTTCTCAGCGACCACAAAGCCCGGCCTTAAAGGCAGTGTCCGGGCAGAAACTCGACTTCTAAAAAACCAACTTATCTGGGGTTATCCGCAACGCTGAATCCGAAAATCCACATCAGAAGGCGCGAAAACGGCGAGAACATGCATTTTCCAAGTCCTCACATTTCGAAATTTGGGGATCCCCGCCAGGCTAAGACGCAGAGGTTGCAAAGAGCGCACGGTTTTTAACTGTGGCGGCATACGTACTCTGCCGTCTGGCAGGAATTCAAACAACTCGGAGGACTCCGCCCCAAGGCGTAAGTTTCCCCAATTTGCAATCGTTTTTCTTGCTTTAGGTCGAACGTTTTATGCTCGCAGTTGCGCGATGTTGTGTCTCAAGCGGGTTACTTTCACATGGCAGAGAAATCTCAGAACCCCCATTTTGCCCGGACACTGCCTTAAAAAAGAGTCAATGTCAAAGTGTAATCATAAATAATTTTACATGTCAGCCCGCCCTTCCTTTTCCCTTCCCCAGTTATGTTCTTGTATGGCATCATTACTGCATGCGGTGAAAATGCTACATCAATGCGAAAGCTTACGATGTTCCAAACAGATGCAGTGACCATGTAAGGGCTGCTA